TGCAGCCCCCTCTCTCACCCAGAGTCCAGGAACGAGGCTGCTATGGAATCACCACGATGAACTTGACAACTTAACGCAAAGCCAACCGTAGCTGAGTTTACTGCAGGAGATGGGGAGATCCTGACTTTGGGGTCAGTCTTCCATGCTACCCCATGAGATACTTGGAATAAACTAGTAAGCATGCATTTGGGCGCACCCGTCTCCCTTAGAGTTGGTGGCTGTGCACCGGCAGTTTCCACATCCCTGCAGAATTAGCGAGCTTGTCTCTGTGGGTACTGATATCTGATTTGCTGAGAGACATATGTAGTTAATTTGGAAATGCAACTCTCCCTCCTGGCGGGGGGGGACCTAGGACTCCTGAGCCAGAAACCTACAAGACTCAGGAAGCTCAGAAGGTTAGGAGCCATGAAGCCCCTCCTCAAGATGACAGGAGCAGGGACAGCCGTGGGAGGAGACACTTCTGTGTAGCTGTCTGCAAGTACAGCACTCCAGGGCTACAGCCTTTGTGAGTCATCCATGTACTGGGGTGGGCTTTCCAGTGACGCAGCTGCCTTTGAGTCTCCCACGCTCCCTTAAGTAACCTCACGCCCTAAGGAACAGCACTGAACTCACTAAGCTAGGCCTGGATGGCATTATTTCCTCGGTCAGTTATCAAGTCGAATCTGGGGCGAACAGACATTTGCTCCTATCTTCCCAGGGAAAGTCACACAACAGCCGATGGTTACTGCTTATTATCAGCTGGATAGGATCTGGGACCAGCTGGGAGGCAAGCCTTCAAACATACTTGTGAAGGACTCTTTAGAATACGTTAACCTCTGGCATGCCTGGGAAGGACTGTGGTAATTATGCTAATTGGGAAGACCCATCCTGGACTCACAAACTGGAGGTGACAATCTGAATACAAGCACTCATCTCTCTCTGCTTCTTGACTGCAATGTGGCCAGCTGCCTCAGGTTCCCGCCTCTCTGACTTCCCACCATAACGGACTGTACCTGTGAGTGGGGTAGCCCCTTTCTCCCTTAAGTTGTCTGCCATTTTACCAAAACAACAGCAAAGTAACTAAGACAATGATGCTTGCAAACCTGCAATTACCCCTGTCCCCAGGCACCTGTCTGTCCCCTCCCTGTGCAGCTGGACTCCTTGAGTTAGGACCTCTGAGGATGACCTAAGCCATCACAACAGAGGCTAGGGACTCCTATTAAACCCTGAAGTCTAGATGTTAAGCTTGAAGACGCTCCGTTCTCTGGAGACAGGTCCCCTCATGCCTTCATCACCACCTCCAGATGCAGAGATGAGTCTTAGAGCAACAGGAACTGATCACATACCCAAAGGCAGAGGTCAGAGACAGTCAGGCTGCCAGATGCAGGCACACCCATCAGCACTAGTACAGGACAACAGGACCCTTCTGGGGCTCTTGGGAGCCAGGTGATTTCAGAATTCAGATTTTCTTTTTCCGTTTTAGAATGCCGATCTATTAACACTCCCAGTAGGGCCTGAGGACACATACTACCAACTCATTAATTATTTCTTGTAACTAGACATGAATATTTATCACAACCATCGATATCAGGTCCATCTAAATTGTAAGACAGCCAGGCTCACCAGAATGGGAGGTTTGGCACCATCTCGATCACTTCCCTCCACGGGAGATCTAAACTCAGGAATTCAAGCCAACAACCCTCGACAAGGACACGGCAAACCCTTGACAAGGACACAGCAAAAGGAGCAACTGACAAGATCCCAGCAGACATTCCCTGGTTCCAGCCTGGGAAACAGGCAGGCCTGTCTGGAGAGTCCCTGACTTCAGAGCCCCAAAGGGAAATGACGTCACAGGGTCTTGTGTGAAGAATCAGAGTCCCCGAGCCCAAGGAGGACAGAAACACTAGTGCTGTCACAGACCACAGGACACAGTGCTGGCCCCACGGACTGGCAGACCTGCAGGGTGCCAGGCAAGCAGTGCTGTGAGCCTCCTGCCACCCAGGAGCAGCAAGAGCACACTGTAGATGCTGCTCTGCCCTCTTCAGTGCCAACATGCCCCAGGTCTTCCCCGAATTCTTACTCCAGGCAGCCCCTGGCTCTCTGAGTCCACTCCCACAGCCTTGACGACCGGCTCCGCAAGCTTGACTTTCACATATTAATCACGAGTCCTCCCTCTTCCTCAAACCCAGCTTTGCACAGCCTCTGGGACATCTCCAGCTGGGTGACCAACTGTGTGACACAGATGACCCATACATGCCAAACCTGCCTGCTTCCCACAACTCCAGCCTGGCACTCGGGAGTATAACATGAGCGATTCTGGCCAATAGGACATGAACAGACATAACACATGTCACTAAGGTATTTAGTATCTGGTGCACAGGCCTCATGGTCTTTCCCTTCCCCGATGCTAAGACAAGACATCAAACATTCTAACTCCTAGAATTGCAGCTTAGAAAATGTGACTGGGTTTGCAGTATGTTTTGAGAGAAATAAAATTATGTGTGTAGGGTAGGCACATATGTGGGTGTATAAGTGAGCATGTGAATGTTCTGTATGTACTTAGAGGGCAGGGAACAGCTTTGGGAATCTCTCTCTACTGCTCTCTGCCCCATTCCTATGAAATGGAGTCTCTCACTAAAGCTGCAGTTGGGCTAGGCCAGGAGCCAGCAAGCTCCAGCAATCTTCTTATCTCCAACCTCCATGCTACCCCTCCA